TTCTTTCTTCTCCGTGCTTTATTTTCGCTGTCTTTGCTCCTTTATTTCTTATTTGCTTATTTTCTTTCTTTCTTTGTTTATTTTCTTTCTTTCTTTTCAACCTTCTTTCCTACTTTTTTTTCTTGTTTTGTTTGTTTGCTTCTTTCCTACTTTTTTTTCTTGTTTTGTTTGTTTGCTTCTTTCTTTCTTTTTTTAAAAGTTTTATTGTTCTAATCGCTTCAAATCCACGATCCCTTTCCTTTCTTTTTTCCTCTTCCTCTTCGTCAATTTCACATTAATTTAATTAACCGCTATTATCCTATCGACATAAATAGAAAACACATGCGAAATAACGGGACGCCCATATCTCCCCCCCCCCCGGAGCACCAACAGCCTCCCTGCCCGCCTAATGCACTTACTATGGCACATTCGCACAATGCTCATTTTATTTATTTCCCTATATTCTCTTTGGCCTCCCAAATAAGACAAAAACAGGATTTTTTTTGTTAAAAATAGTCAGGAGGCGAAAAAAAAAACATGTTTTTGAAATGTTTTTAGATGATGGGTCCCCCCTGCCTTTAACGTAACTTTCTAACGAACCCTCCCCGACTGTTGACTGAATTATATAAGTTCATTTCCGGATTCAGAAACATTGGAAAATTATGAACTCAATTATATATGACCAAGCTGTATTTTCATTTGGCATTGCCAGTATATGATGGAAAACCAACAAAGTATTTTGATATCGGAAGGTACGGCTTTTTAAAGAATTTAGAATGTGAAAAATTAATGAAATAAAAGGAATTATTTCCAGTTGGTTTTAACCCATTCAGCTCAGACCATCGTGGTAGAGAAAAATGACGTAATGCCCAGCCACCGGTTGAACGGTGGTAGAAGAAAATGACTTAATGCCCAGCCACCGGTTGAACGGTGGTAGAGAAAAATGACTTAATGCCCAGTCACCAGTTGAACGGTGGTAGAGAAAAATGACTTAATGCCCAGCCTTCGGTTGAACGGTGGTAGAGAAAAATGACTTAATGCCCAGCCACCGGTTGAACGGTGGTAGAGAAAAATAACTTAATATGGTGATTTCCTTTCGTCTTTCAATGATATTATTAAGCTTATCAGACAATATGAAAGAAACTTACTTAAAATAAATAGACAAATCTTGTCTATATTATTTAATGAGACATGCATTATATATATATATATATATATATATATATATATATATATATATATATATATAGTTAGCACCATAGAAACTTTCTTGTATTTGTGTGTATTGCGTATTTGCATGTGTGCATTACTGTATGGTGCATTTGAGTGCGTGTGTGGATTCGTGTATGTGTGTATATTTGTGTGTGTGTATATTTGTGTGTGCGCGCATTTGTGTGTGTGTTCAATTTTTGTGTGTGTACTTTTAGTTGTGTGTGCTTTTTTCTGTGTGCAGTTGTAAGTGTATGCTTGCATTTGTGTGTGCGCGCTTGTATGCTCTTGTTTGTGTGTGCAGTTGTATGTGTGTGTTTGCATTTGTGTGTGCGTGCGTGTTTGTTTTTTTGCATGTGCCTTTGTCTACGTATGCGTGTGTGCATGTGTGTATGTAATAATTAATGGATAACATTTTTTTAATCCGACTTATTTTTATCGCTTCAAACGTTATATTTAGTGGATGCCCGTATTTGAGTAGCCGCTCCGTTTATTTTCCACTATATTTATTTCGTGTAATCGAGCTGTACATAAAGAGAATATCCCCTTCGACAGGATTCGATCCTACGTCCCACTTTGCAAGAGCAACCACCGTAATGTTAAATCTTGAACATACTTGAAGATTGTATAGCGCTAGCTGAAAATCTAAGGTTGCTTAAATTTCGAACAATAGGGGCCTGTTTTTATTCTTTCTTTTGCTTCCTTTTTACCGCTCCTATTTCCGCTAGATTAAAAAAAAAGAAAAATACAACTCTTTATCCAAATGTCTCCCTTAGATCCTTTGCATTCCATTCCATTCCCCCCCTCTTCCTCTTTCCGTTTCCGCTTTTTCTTTTTGTTCTCCTCAGGTGCAAAATTCTAATTCCTCGTTTCTTCTGTTATCTTCGGATAAAGCGTGACCTTTATGGAAAAGCCTTGTTGCAGGAGCACTTACCTATTCCCCTTATCTAATCTGGGGCTGAAAATCCTGAATCGTAAACTTGCCATAAAATTTCTACTTAGAAAAATACTAACGCACAGATTTTACATGTAGCATTAAACATTCCATATATACCCATGTATATGTCGACTTCATGTATAGCACGAGCCCTGATATTTTGGGGCATGAATTTTGCCCCCCCCCCCCAAAAAAAATTACCTGTGTACAGGGCGCCTTTCCCACTATTTTTTTGCGTGAAAATAGGGTCCTAAAATCTATCACAATACTCGCTTATTCACTTTTTTTTTATTTATTAAACTGTATTTAATAAAACAAATAACAAAATCTGGGCGTCTATTTCAAATACGAAGTGTCCACTTGTCATATATGACATAAATGAACGGAATCGTCCGTTTATGTAAATAAGCAGAGCAGAGCTAGTATTAGCGTTCGGATTCGGCCCACACAAAAATTGCCATCCTGTCTCGTGGGGAGCTTTGGTAAATATCGAACTAGCATTAGATCTTAGCCGCAAGTGAATCTCTTATTGGTGCTTGTCGCACTCTCTGCTTGCGGGCATCGAGGTACCCAAACGAGGCTATGCCGAAGGGCAGAGTCTCGTCTGGGGAGGTAGACAGCTAACCGACCCCGTATACACGGGGTCGGGTGGCTGTCTAGCTTTGTCTGAGCCTACGGGCTCGGAAACACTCACATTTAACAGGCCTTGTGGCACATCCCGCTCTGTGGAGAGCTCGGGTAAATACCGAGTTAGCATTAGGTCAATTGCTAAGTGTACCTTCGTGTAGTAAACCTTCTATTTCATTAATTATGTACGAGCTTATCTTCCGTATTTATTTTCCTCTGTTATCTAAAAAACACGAGATACAGTACAACTATATTAACGCTTTAATCAAAATAATCGGATTGAAAACGAGTTCTTTAATTCTTTAGAAATTATTTTCGGATACAAAACTGAGCAGATATGAAAATTTCGAGAAAAATAATCAGGATGAAGATTATCGGATCTTAAAGGGTCAAAATGGAACTTTGCTTGCTGAGGTGTTCTTTGTGGTCGGGCGTTTAGTCATGCCGGATCAAACGCCGGGACACAGGATCGATCTCTGCCGGAGAGCACATTTAACGATCTCTCTAATACGCAGCCCGATAGACATTTAAAAGATAAAATATGAGGCGTCTATTTCGAATACGAAGTGCCCATTATAATAAAGTTTGATGTAATAAAAACATTCTACATCTGAAAGCCTTTCTTTCAGTAACATTGTCTTTAATTCCTAATCTCTGGCATCCCATTTTAAAATTCTAAAACAGTGCATTTACATAATATATCTTAAATCTATTGAACATAGAACAAGCTACGTTATTGGTCCTGACCTGGCATCCCTGCTTCAGTCACTTCCACGCCGTCGTAATGTTGCTTCCCTGTGCCTTTTCTATACTTTCATGGTCATTTTTATGATGAATTTTACTCTATGTTATCTAAACTTTATTGATATCAAACGCAGTACTAGATTGGCAGCTAGGTCTCATTATTTTACCGTAGAAATGGATAGATGTAGCCATAAGTTCTATGCTAACAGTTTTTACTCTCTCTCTTGTCGCTCCTGAAACTCTCTTCCGGCGTCTTGCTTTCAGACCTGAAAAAATTGAAACGCAATGTCAATCATTACGTTAGATGTATAGAGTTGAAGTAGACATTAAAAGGAACCGGAAACCCAATCCTGAACAGGAAACAAGGGATAAACCTCTACTCCTGTTCAAAAGACCTATGTATTCCTACTGACGGAAGAAAATAAATAAATAACATTTCAGAGTTTAGGTGAAGACATTAGAAGTATAGAATTGATGTAGACTTTAGAAGGAACCGGAAACCCAATCCTAAAGAGGAAACAAGGGATAAACCTCTACTCCTGTTCAAAAGACCTGGGAGGAATGTGAACCGAAACTTTATCCAGTAATGGGTCAATTTCTTTTTTTTCTTTTTTCTTTTTTTATTGAATATATAATAAAACTCTTCGGGAAGAGAAAGTCTCTCTGCTCCGAAATTAATTAATTAGTTTTTTTGTTTTTTTTAAGTCATTCAATCATCAATTTTAGGTGACGTTTCGACACCCAGAGAATGGCAACAAACATTAGGTACCCAGTGAACACACACAAACATACATTTAAAATAATATTTGATTGCAAACGTCTTCTGTATTATACTGTTTTTCTAGACTTGACATAACCGACAAGAATAACAACGTGTTTCTAAGCAAGAAAATATTGCAATGGTAATGTTTTCTCTATTTAGCTGCTCTTTTTAAGGGACCTTTTCGGGTTGCGCAAAAAAAAGGGTCTGACATCAAACGTTTCTGACAGTGTTTCAAACTTTGCGTACTGATGTATTTTGATAAGAGGCAATCGATTTTGTTTCTCGCACAGGGAAATTTCTAGTGTGCTCTCTCTTTTTTCGAAAGATCCAGGTTAAATGGAGTTATCAAAATGAAACCAACTTGTTTTCATTTCTTTTAACCTGAGTGTATCACAACATTCACTTTCAATGCAGAATTATTTGGAAGACATCTATCTATCTATCTATCTATCTACTGAAATTTCTTCATATTTATCTATCTATCTATCTATCTGTCTGTCTATCTGTCTGTCTATCTCTATTTATCTCTCTACTGAAATTTCTTCATATCTATCTATCTAAATTATTTACATTATTCGGACTATTGTCCTCATCCTTGACGCCATATTTATTACAACGTTTCGGCCGTTGTACGCTCCGGCCTTCTTCAGGTGGTTGGAATGTCGAACTTAACCCTTTATTTCGCTCACTGGAGTAGACTGTCCAAGTTTCACGTGCCATGTTTAATGGATGTCAGTTGTCAGTTATCTCCTGTTGATTCCCAAGTCCCCCACTGCCTTAACCGGGTATTGAACTCACACTCTTTGGGTCCTGTCACTGGATCTAACCAATGCCTTTATCAACTGTGCCATGTGTCCTTTTCAGTTTCTTTCTATCTATCTATCTATCTATCTATCTATCTATCTATCTATCTATCTATCTATCTATCTAAGCCTGTTCCAATCTATCTATCTATCTATCTATCTATCTATCTATCTATCTATCTCAGTTTGTTCCTATCTATCTATCTATCTATCTATCTATCTATCTATCTATCTATCTATCTATCTATCCGTCTCAGTTTGTTCCTATCTATCTAGCTATCTATCTATCTATCTATCTATCTATCTATCTATCTATCTATCTATCTCAGTTTGTTTCTATCTATCTATCTATCCGTCTCAGTTTGTTCATATCTATCTATCTATCTATCTATCTATCTATCTATCTATCTATCTATCTATCTATCCGTCTCAGTTTCTATCTATCTATCTATCTATCTATCTATCTATCTATCTATCTATCTATCTATCTATTACAATTTCTTTATAGCAATCTATGAACAAAAATTACCGAAAAGTGTCACAGTATTCAAGGTGAAATCATTGTTTTGCTCCACACGAAAAATGAATCACTAAACACTGAAGTCCCTCCGTACATTCCCGATGACTTACTTTTCCCATCGTCCATGCCAGGATTGATGTGAAAGGTAAAAATAATTTTCTTTCCCATGTGAGCGGCTCAGGAAAACGCCTATCATTGATTTCCGTGTCACAGTTCTGTGTTCAAAGGTCAAACCTGGATGCGGACTTCTATTTTAGGGATTGTTCTCTCGTTCCACCAGGAATCTAAAAATTGGGGCTCATTCTTTGCAAAAGTATAACCTTAAAAAATAATCGCCCAACATTCTGTTTTATCATAATTGTTGTTGATGTATATTGATATATATTGGCTGTTTTCTCTTTTGTTGCGTTTTGAAACTCAACGCTTTGAGTTTGAGGAAGACTGAAGCGTACAACGGCTTAAGCGCTGTTATAAACCCAACAGAAATGAAGTCGGAAAGGATTTAGATAGATAAGCTTCAGTTAAGTTAGTAGATTTAACGAGATTAGAATTCTTGCTAATTATTCGATTCGATGGCAGATTTAATTTCTAGTTTTTTTTTTCTTTTCTTTTATTTTCAATCAAAATTTAAGAATACCTTTAATGTTAACTAGCCTATCGTCCGGTTCGTACTCCTCCCCAGCCTTTTGAACAGGACTAAACGTTTATCCTTTGCTTCCTGCTTAGGAATGGGTTTCCGGTTCCTTCTAAAGTCTGTTTCGACACTAGACTTCTAACGTCTTCGCCTAAACTCGGATTTTTTATTCACTATTTTTTCTCTCTCCATAGGAGTAGATAAATTCGTCTATCGTCCGGTTTACACGCCTCCCTATTTTTTTTTATTTTTTTTAACAAGAGTAGGAGTTTATCCTTTGTTTCCTGTTTTAGGATTTCGGTTTCCGGTTCCTTCTAAAATTGAATTCAACTCTACACTCCTAAAAATCACCGCCTAATCTCTGACAATTTTATACGCTAATTAAATCTTGACCTCTTCAAGTCTAGAACTATCTGTCTAGTTTTTCCTGTTACTTTGCCTTTTCCTACACTAATTCAACTCCATACTGTAACCCTCTACCTTGAGTGGCTCTTGGACCTTATACTGAGTGAACATTATAAAAATAAACCCCAAAAAACAAAAAGCAAAAACAAACTTTCTTGCATCATTTACAGTAGGAAAGGTATGAATCCTCTTCTCCCCCTAGCTATGGGTTAATTAGTAAGACTTAAAATCATTATTATCTCCCTAGCAAATGAAATTACATACAAAATAGTTAGATGTCAGCATTAACTAATAGAGACAGCTTGACCTACTGCTAAACGCAAAACAAGTATGGGGTTCACTGGATCGAGCTATGTACTAATGACCAACTTGTTAACCATAACACAATAACGAAATGTTCTTTATTTACTATGTCAGAGTCACAAATATGGATATTTGGTGAGGATGGAACTCGGTACTCGTTAACCATTACACCATAAAAGGATTCGCTTGGGCGGACAATTGCTGATCTCAGACGCGCATAATCGACACGTCGGTATAATTTCTTCCCGCCTATTTTATAGTATCTGCCCCTTTCTTTTGCTCTTTCTGTCCCGACCCGTTATAGTCAAGGTGGGCCCCGATTATGTTCTATGGAAACTGGTCATGGGTTGGCTGGGACGACGGAGGAAAGTTTTGCTTTTTGATTTCTTTTCAAATCCCCGGATGTCAAGTCAGTAGTTCACTTCGTATGCTTGAATTACTAATCTTTGTGGATTTAGGAGATGCGTTGTTGGTGTCGGTGGTTGGTGGGCAGGGGGTGGGGGAAGAGGGGGTAATATCAATGCAAGATTTAAAGTAGAAGGTCATAAGGGTATACACCTGGCCTTTTGTCAGTCGGCCGAATCAGGAGAGACGTAAAAATCAGGATCTAATAGAAGACAAACTGGGGAAAAAATAGGAAAGAATTAGAAATTTACGATTTTGGGGGAGGGGGGGATTTTTCGGCTTTTGTTTTGATAACTAGTGAAGCATTTAATCTTTTTTTTTTCATTCTTTCTTTCTTTCTTTTATTTTTCCCTTCCTTGATTTCATTCCTTCAATTTTCTGCTTATTTTTCATTCTTTTCACATTCATTTTATTCTTTCGTTCTTTCTTTCTTTTCATTTCCATACTTTTTTCTTTCGTTCGTTCTTTATTCTTTCTTTCTTTCTATTTTTTATTCCCTCTCCCTTTCCTTATTTCATTCTTTCAATTTTCTGCTTATTTTCTTTTCATGTTAATTTTCTGTCTTTCTTTTTTTTCCATTTCATTCTATTTTTCTTTCTTTCATTCGTTCTTTCTTTTTATCTATGTACTATTTTTATTTCATTTCTCCTCTATTATTGTTTTCCTTATGTTGTGTCGTTGTATCTTTCTTTCTTTCCTTTCTTTCTTTCCTTTCTTTCTTTCTTTCCTTTCTTTCTTTCTTTTTTCTTTCATTATTTCTTTCCTTTCTTTCTTTCTTTCATTCCTTTCTTTATTTCTTTCATTCTTTCTTTCCTCCCTTTCTTTCTTTCTTTCTTTTCTTTCTTTCTTTCTTTCTTTCTTTCTTTCTTTCTTTCTTTCTTTCTTTCTACATTTGCTATTTTTTTTATTTCATTTGTTCCCCCTTATTGCTTTCCTTATTTTTCTCTCTTTCTTTCTTTCCTTTTTTCTTTCTTTCTTTTTCTTTTTTCTTTCTTTCTTTCTTTCTTCTTTTCTTTCCTTTTATTTCTTTCTGTCTTTTTCTTTCTTTCTTTCTTTCTTTATTTATTTCTTTCTTAGCTACTTTTGTCTCTTTCTTTCTTTCCTTTGTTCTTTCTTTCTTTTTCCTTTTTCCTTTTTTCTTTCTTTCTTTCTTTTTCCTTCTTTCCTTTTCTTTCTTTCTTTCTTTTTTTTCTTTCTTTCTTAGCTACTTTTGTCTTTTTCTTTCTTCCTTTTATTTCTTTCTGTCTTTTTCTTTCTTTCTTTCTTTATTTCTTTCTTAGCTACTTTTGTCTCTTTCTTTCCTTTGTTCTTTCTTTCTTTCTTTTCCCTTTTTTCTTTCTTTCTTTCTTTCTTTCTTTTTCCTTCTTTCCTTTTCTTTCTTTCTTTCTTTCTTTATTTCTTTCTTAGCTACTTTTGTCTCTTTCTTTCTTTCCTTTGTTCTTTCTTTCTTTCTTTTCCCTTTTTTCTTTCTTTCTTTCTTTCTTTCTTTCTTTCTTTTTCCTTCTTTCCTTTTCTTTCTTTCTTTCTTTTTTCTTTCTTTCTTAGCTACTTTTGTCTTTTTCTTTCTTTCTTTTCTTTCTTTTCTTTCTTTCTTTCTTTCTTTCTTTCTTTCTGCATTTGCTATATTTTATTTCATTTCTTCATGTTTCTTTCTTTCCTTATGTTGAATCGTCTTTGTTTCTTTCTGCATTTTATTCTTTCTCTCTTTCTTTTTCTTTCTTTTTTCTTCCTTTCCTTTCTTTCTTTCTTTCTACATTTTGTTAATTTCTTATGTGCTTTCTTTCAATTTTCATTCTTTTCTTTCCAGTCTGTTTTTCTTCTTCCCTTCATTTTTTCTTTCTTCTAGATTTAATTAGATTTTACTATTTCATTTCTCCCGTCTTTCCTTTCCCCTTCTTTCCTTTCTTCTCTCCATCATTTCTTTCTTTATTTTTTTCTGCATTTAATTAATTTATTCCTTCTTTCTTTCCTTCCGTCATTTCTTTTTTCATTCAACTCATCCATAATTGTTTCATTCATTCTTTCCTTGTTATTCATTTGTATCTACATTTGATTAGTTCTTTCTTTTCCTTTGTATTCACTTCTTTTCTTTCCTCTTTACCTTCTTTCTTTCCTTCTTTCTGTCTATTTTCTTTCTTCCCTTTTCTTTTGTTCTTTCTTTCTTTTTCGTTCTTTCCCTCTTTCTTTCTTTCTTTCTTTCTTTCTTTCTTTCTTTCATTCACTCTTTCTTTCTTTTCGTTTTCTTTCTCTCTTTTCTTTTTCCCTCTTTCTTTCTTTCTTTCTTTTTTTCTTTCTTTCTTTTTTTCTTTCACTCTTTCTTTCCTTTCTTTCTACCCATAATTCTCTCGCACTTATTAATCGCTATTTTCCTCCTCCTCCTCCTCAGTATCACTCATCCGATGTCATTCATTTTTCTTCCTTCTCTCTATATCTGTCTTTATCTGTCTTTCATGAACATTTTCATTTTTGCATTATATTATCAGGTGTGAAA